CAACTCATCTTCTTCTTCAGAAGAAGATTCTTCAGAGCTTTCTTGAATAACCTGCAAAGCTTTAGCAGTTTTGTTAGATTTTAAAGCTATGGATTTACCTTTATCTTTCTTCTGGGGTTCATCTTCCTCCAGCTCAATTTCATGGCTTCTCAAAGAACTGATAAGTTCTTCTAAGGAGATCTTGTTCAGATCTTTTGCCATCTTCAATGCAGTCACCATTGGTCTCCATCTGGTGGGAAGACTTCTGATGATTTTCTTGACATGATCTGACGTTGAGTAGCCCTTGTCCAGAACTTTCAGACCAGCTGTAAGAATCTGAAATCTAGAAAACATAGTTTCTACATTTTCAGAATCTTCCATTTTAAATGCCTCATACTTCTGTATGAGCGCCAGAGCCTTTGTCTCTTTAACCTGAGAGTTTCCCTCATGAGTCATTTTGAGTGATTCAAACATGTCATGAGCAGTATCTCTGTTAGTAATCTTCTCATACTCAGTATGAGAGATTGCATTAAGCAATATAGTTCTGGCTTTGTGGTGATTCTTGAAGTCTCTTTTCTGCACTTCAGTCATTGATTTTCTATCAATCTTTTTGCCATCCTCTCCAGTAGGATGTTCATATCCATCAATGACCAAATCCCAAAGATCGGCATCATACCCAAGAAAAAAACTTTCTATTCTATCTTTCCAATAGTCAAATTTTTCTCCATCAAACATTGGAGGTTTGGTACTGATCCTATCCCTCTCTTCATATTTATTGTTGATATTTGACATTGAATTATCAGCCATGATAACAAATAAATATATAGATCAAAGTATATCTCCTCTGGATCTTTACTGACACTGTTAAGTGATAGCACACTCAGAACCGGAGCTCTGATGCCAACTGAAGGTGAGATATTACTTAGAAGGGGGGGGGGGGGGTTGAATAAGTATGGAAAATTAATACTTGAAAATAATCACACAATTATTTTTATCCTGGTTCGTTAAACAACTACTCCAGTCCACCCTTCCAGAGTGATTTGCCTTTCTCAACAAGGACTTAATCCACTATTAAATCAAACTGATTACAATAGTATCACCTAAGAACTACAGTTCTTAGTCTTCTCAAGAGCTACTGATTCACACTGAATCCTCTTAAGGAATATCCTTTACAAACAATGTAAATTAAATACAAGAGTTTTTAATGCTTCTATAAAGCTATAATCACAACAGTGATTTTTCTCTTAAGTTTTAAGTACAATAAGATTCTATGAAGAATAAGAATGAGAGCTTAAGAATATGTGATTTCTTTTCAGCAAGCGTGTAGCACTGAAGAATGAAGTGAGGAACTCCTTTTATAGGCAACTGAATCATGCACGTTGAAAAGAGAGTCCAAAAGGTCTGAGCCTTTTTGTCTTCACATGCACTGACCTTTCCTTGAAATAGATGGCACAGATAAATCCTTTTTGTCTGTGTAAGTGTGTCTAGCACAAATAAGGAAAGAGACGTTGAATGGTTCCAACGGATACATTCTTGAAAACACTTCTTCAGTTTCAGCAAGGTCTTCAGAGTCTGAATGGATCAGAGTCTTCTGATGAGTTTCAGAACTATGCTGTATCAGAGTCTTCTGCAGCGTGTGTGCTTCTAGCGTGTTGATCATCAGAGCATTTTGGCACAGAACTTCAGTACAAGGCAGCGTAGGTACTTTCAGAAACTTCTGTAGACTAATGCTTTGAGAAACTCTTCAGTCAATATTCTTCAATCCTTCTGATGCTTCAGCTTCAGATGCTTCTGATTATCTTCAGATGCTTCTGACTATCTTCATATGCTTCTGACTCAGAATGTTCTGGAGCTTCTTGCTTCAGATCCTTCTGGAGGCTACGCTCAAGATCTTCTGTAAGGAGCAAACAGATTCTTCTGTAAAGTGCATCTGGCGCTTCAGAGTCAGAATATCTTCTTGTATTCAAGGCAGATTTGCTTCTAGAGAGTTAATATAATTTTAATCTGCAGTAAAACTCTCAAACAAATTTTAGAGTATATAATTCTTAAATATAAATTTCCCAACAGTTATCATCAAAACAAAGAGTAATTATTAAGAACCAATCTGTGTTCTAACAACAACGTATCTCAAATAAAAAACATTACGAACAAGAAACAAATGAATAAGATTATAGATCAATAGGTTCATACAACAGTCAAATCAACATAGAATCCAACAAAGTAGAAATAGGTTCATCATAACACAACCTAACCTAGAAGAATTTAACTACTCAGAGTGCAATTAAAAATACCACAATTGATAGACAAAGATAACATAAGAAGTCCCTTGAAGATTTGACCTCCAATGACTTCAAATGCTATCAAAATCACCCCTTGTGCTCTCTAATTCGTCCTTCAATCTCCAAATTTCATAACCCTTGTCAAACTGCTGAAAATCCCCTTAAAAGAGCTCAGAATAGGTCAGAATGCGTCAAAAAAAGCTCAGAAAAGTTCCGATCGTGCACATTAAATATGCATCGCGCACGATGTAATTTATTCCTCCCTATCGTGCGTGTGATGTCGCACATGATTATTCTAATAGCTGCGTAAAAATTCACCCTTTTTCACCATGATTTTCACTAAGTCCCATTCTTCCATACTTGACTATTTTCACTCATTCTTTGGTCTTTCTTCATCCTTTTGGCTCTTCTTTCGCTTGTTTTTCACTGATTCTTCGCCTAATTTCATTCAATGACAGATTTTCATCAGCTTCCTAGGCTTTCCATCAGACATGAAAGAGGTTGCACGTTGTTGACACTTGTGAAAGAGTAAGGCTTATTTGACGTCCCAAGAAAAAAATCATCATTGCTAGCATTAAATGTCTCACACGTTTTTTCTCGCCTAACATTCGTTTGGGGATTTCCCCAACTAACATCACCTCGGTTACACTTGGAAACGTATGCCTGAGTCATCCATATATGGAAATCACTTTATGCATGAGGGATTCGCCGCTTGTTTTTCACTGATTCTTCGCCTAATTTCATTCAATGACAGACTGTCATCAACTTCCTAGGCTTCCAATCAGACATGAAAGAGGTTGCACGTTGTTGACACCTGTGAAAGAGTAAGGCTTATTTGACGTCCCAAGAAAAAATCATCATTGCTAGCATTAAATGTCTCACACGCTTTTTCTAGCCTAACATTCGTTTGGGGATTTCCCTAACTAACATCACCTCGATTACACTTGGAAACGTATGTCTGAGTCGTCCATATATGGAAATTACTTTATGCATGAGGGATTCACCTTTACATAAGAGACTCGCCTCACAATTAATGGACTCATTCGGATAAAAAAATGCCATGACTAAATCACTTCACCCTTTTCAAGCCTTCGTGCTTGAGGGATTGTGTATTTGTATATTCGTAGAGAGCCCGTGAGAGGCAACAAGTGAGGCAGATAACGCTTTGTCTCACCATAAAGCTATGTTGGTCTCCTGTCTACTGGATCAATCACTCATTTGTTAGATGTATCAACCTTATATCAAATATATCATCCTCCTCTCGGACGAGTCGCCCAAGGGAGAGAAATGGGGAATGACACGACCTTATTCCATATCAGTATGGAAGGAGGCATTTGACCACATTCTCCACAATAATAGGCCTAGGGACTAATCGTCCTAAGATTCAGGTTCAACGACGCTATAAATACCTCAGCATTAAAGAAGAGAATGTCAATCTCATTTTCACACTGGAAACACATACACAAAACTTCTCACCCCTTACATGAGTTAACTATTATCCCTACAAAATACCTTAAAACTTTTGGCAACCCTTAATCAATAAGAGTTGTCACGTATTATACATTTTACCAAGTACAACTATCATAAAAAAGAAAACTTAAAAGTCTTAACCGTAACTATCTTATTTAAATTTTATAAAATTCTTAATTAAATAAAAAATTCATTTTAAAAAATCATTAAAAAACCTTTACAAACTCAATGAACCTATTAAATTAAGAATAGAAAATATTTTGAAATACTACCTCTACCCCAAATTATAAGTCACTTTGTAAAAAATATTTGTCCCAAATTATAAGTCACTTTAGAATCCCAATATAACATTAAAAACATTTTTTTTAATATATCATTTATTTCTCTTTCTTCTTCTTATTTCTTTAATCCGTTTTTCAATATAATTAATGAAGGACAATTTTGTAAAGTTGTAAATCATTTCAATTTCCATAAAATAATAATTACATTTCTTAAATTGTATGAAATGACCAAAACATCATATAATTTGGAACGGAAGAAGTAAAACATTAGAATAAGAATGTCTGAGTAGAAGACCTATTCAAAAGATGTATTATTTAAACACCCCAAAGTCAAACATGGTACAAAATCAACACCTAAATTTAACAATACAATCCCTATAAATCAGAAATTGCTTGCACATTATTCAATGTTGATATCAGATAGGGACCCTACCCCTCTTCTGTCAATTATTTCAGAGCCATAATAATGAAAACCAGATATTGGGACCCACAGAAACAAAGAAAGGACATAGAACAATCAGATTCCTCCACAACCCACATGCAAAAGTTTGTTACATCTCCCGTTCCTGACTCATCTAACAAGCACACAGACTAAACAAACCAGAAAAAGAACAACAAAAGATTAAGGAAAATATAGCCAGATTTCTTGCTATAACAGAATCACATTTCAAACATTATTCTAAGATTAAACGGTTCAGATTATACAGTTAGAAATTCATATATCTGTCGTTGGTTCAAACCAGACGACAAATATTTAAAACTGCGCCGATGGCACAACATTAGAGTTTGGTCTCATCAACATAAACATTATTATTAAGGAGTAACAAAAACAAATAAATCAACATCTGTCCTCCTATTTCACACATGTTAAGGATTTCTAGTCCTTTTCATACTCAACTTTACATGTGAAGATTTAGGAATATGTATCAATTATAAATAAATAAAATCCAAAGATGAATATTCAGGTTTCATAATGATGAACATAATGTTTTTATAGCTTCAAATTGAGATCAATAGTTCCTTCCACTTGATGACCATTTTGAGTTCTGGATGATGTTTGTCCATTTTGTGTCTCCTTTGATGCTGGAATGAAGCTGTATGTAGGTTGTTGCTTCTGTTGTTTGACTAGTTTGTATCCTGGTGGAATAGAGAATTGATCTTCTATATTTTTCTGTAACATATCGAATACAAGTTAAGAGTGAGCATTGATTATATTAGCAAAATCAGTCTAACCCGTTATCCGATCCAATCAAATTTCACCGCTTTTGCTTTTATACACCTAAATGACAAAACTTAAGTATGGTGTTGTAGACCTTGTTCGCATCGTTCTCTACTAAAAATAGAGGACGAATGAACGGTGTCTATAACGCTGCATCTAAGTTTTGTCCACACCTAAAACCATAGTATTAGCAATGAAATGGAAAAAATCTCTCTTTTAGTTAATGAGTGTTGCAGAAACCTCAGGGGATTCTTCGTTGTTCAATTCTAGTGGTTTTGACGGTGAAACTGCACATGAAGTAGGAGGAGTTGGAGGAGCCAAAGTGAGGAAACTTCCATCAAATTCCTTAATCCCTTTATCCTTTTTCTTCGACTTCGGATCCGAGTTGGATGCTGAACAAGATTGAGATTCTCTGCATATAGTTAAGAAATACATCGTGTGAGAAGATGGCGGTTATAATATATTTCATTTTGGAGAAAGTACAACAACAGCGAAAGTGCTTAAACGATAGTATTATAACTGAAACAACCTGGAAGTTGAATTGGCAGCATCGAGATGAAATCCACTTTCGCTCTCACATGAAGTTCTTCCATTTGTACTCACTTGACCAATGGAGGGAAATTTATAATTTAGAGGTGTTTGCGAATAATCCAGGGAGAAAGGGTATGGCCTTTTCATGCCAGTCATCATCTGCACCAAGTTTTAAACACCTATATAAAATTTCATAAACTCGAAAAACAAATCATGAATCCATATTATAAGTTCAATATCACACAATCTATATTTCAAGCTTGGTATATTAGAGGTTAAAACAAAAATCAAAACCGGCCTGCTTTGTGCACTGACGACACAAATTTGTGACAGCAGAAAAAAAAATTAAGGACTGCAGCATATCTAATTAAGAACCCTTCAATTAATCAATAAAAGTGTATATCATATATGCATATCAAGGTTTTAAAATACAGTACATGCTAAAAGTCCCACATCGGACAATCTATTGTTCTGAACATGTGTCTATAAGTGAGAGTAATCCTCACCCTAGGGTTGAATTAGACCCAACTCACACATGCTTAAGATGGTATCAAAGCCTCGTTTAAGATCTATTGGACCACCCACCAATTAGTTCCACGCCTCGGACACAACTCCTGGGCGTGAGACGACAGACCCACCCCACACTCTTAAGAGAACACAATCGTGATTTTGGCCACGGTGTCAATGTTTTTGATGTCCTAGACAATTACAAGTGCATCGACCCGTGAAAATATTGATGCCATATACAAAATACAGATCAACCGAACTATGCAGATGGTCTATGAATTACAATGAGAGAAAATCTTGCAAGTAAAAGATTACCTTCTCCGCCGGCCTAACCGGCGTACCGTTGCTAGTACTATTTTGGTTTGAAGGGGGCTCAATTGACAACTGAGGCACACGAGTGGATGAAGTTCCTGAGGAATTATTCACCTACAAGCATCAAAAATCAAATATTTCATATTCCATAGAAAGAAAATGTGAAAAAATGAAACCAAATCATGAAAATTGAACAAAGAAAAGAAAGGATCTTTATATTTACCACTTGTGATGAAGGTTGATGATGAAATTGTGATCTCTGGACCCAATTAGGCAGAGGCCAAATTGGATTAGAATCAAAAGGCAAACTAGGAACAAAGGGCAATCCATGTTCCATACCAAAACTCTCCTTCTCAAAATCCAACTCGCGAGAGCTCCAAAACTTAGGCACATTCCCAAACACACCACTGTTGTTCAATGGAACAGTACCAGAACCTTTACCATCCAAATGTTGCAGTGACATTGGAGATCTAAAATCTAGTGGTGGTAAAGGTAAATGACTAGGAGAGGAATTTTGGTTCATGTGATTGTAATTGGTAATTGGGAGAGGCAAATAGTTTGATATGGTTGTCGATGATGGCGACGAAGACGAGGATGAAGTAGAATTTTGTGATGGTAAAATGAAAGCACCATCTTTTACATTGGAATGGTTAAAATTGTTGATTGGAAGAGGCAAATAAGATGATATAGTTGTTGGTGATGATGAAGATGTTGATGGATTTTTGGATGGTGAAATCACAACACCATCTTTCATGTGTTGTTCTTCTAGTATTTTTTCAAGCTGTGCTACACCAAGACCTCTTTGTGGAACCTTCTTTTGCTTTGGCCTTTTTGTAGATCTACCACCATTGATACAATTGGTTCTCGATTGATCTTCTTGTTCTTGAGCCATTTTTGTGTCATCTTCCATAGGGAAAAAATATTATAATAAAATTAAAAACTAACAGTGTCACCTCAACTATAGCCTGTTTGCTAGCATTGTGGCAATGAATCATAAAACCCTTTTGCAAAGATGAAAAAACCCTTTTGCAAAGATCAAATCTTTATGGAAAATTCAGATACCCTTTTGCAAAGATTGAATTTTTAAGCAAAATTCAGATACCCTATTGCAAAGATTGAATTTTTAAGCAAAATTCAGATACCCTTTTATCAATGAAGAGAGATAAAAGAGCCTACAATTCAGAACAGTTTATGTATGCAAAATCCAAAAGACTCATTATTTAAAATTACCTAAAAATCCAAAATACTCATTATTTAAAATTACCTAAAAATCCAAAAGACCAGGCACCAATTGAGCAGAAAAGTGCATCTGAACTGTCTGTGAGAGAGAGAGAGAGAAAGAAGTGTGGGAAAGATTTCTCGGATTTATCTGAGATTTAGTTTGCTTGTCTAAAAGATAAAAAACAATAAAAATAATATATATTTTTTGGAAATTCAAACCATGCAAATCTATGAATGAGAGTAATAATAACTTATTTCTCGGCCAAATTCTCGCTCCACTCTCCTCATTTTGTTCCTAGACTCACTCACATTAAGTCTCTCTCTCTGTCACTCAATCTCAAGTTGTAGTTGAAGTCTTTCTGTAGATCAGATTTTCTCTCTCTAAATCATTTTTTTAGTCCTAAAAGTAGCTAAGAGACAGTTTTGGGAGGAACTAGAAAGTGTCATCTTAGGTTGTTTGTTTCATTTTTAAGGAGTGGACCTTGGTTGGCTATTGGGGCCCACTTTTGTTGATTTTTTAATTTTGTTCCTTATTAATTTCTATGAAATTGTTACTATTTTAAAGATAGTTCCAATTCAATTAGGTGATTCAATCTCTACCTTTAATATTTATTTATATATAGTCTTCTATATCAAATATAGTTGAACCATGACAATATTTCACCAATTTGATTATAAAACGTAGGAAAGAAGTATGCATATGATAATTGACCCACCACACACACATGCATATTTCACATGACTTGTTGCTTTCTTTTAACTAAATTGGTTAAGTGCTAACGCGGATTCTTTTCATCACAATATCTGATACACTGCACTGACTAATCTAAATTGGAGACAGATATAGCATCAAGTAATTCTAGATCTTCTCAAATATGTTTTTTATTATTAATTTTGGAAAGGTTAATTTCTAGAAACGTATATGTATTACATTTTAGTAGGAGCAACAAAACGGGTCCGTCCAGTTGGACGCTCGTTTTTCCCACACTTTAGTGCTGGACAGATCAAGAATTTAGATCCTCACCCTTTAATGTATCCGTTTGGCTCCGCCATGTTTTTTTCGCGGATTCTACGAACACAAATATTTACATAAACTTTTGCGTTTCTAGGCTTAAAAGATGCAGTGTTCGCGGGCTTTTCCCGTCGCGCCCTCAATTTTTGCGAGGCGGACTTAGGTTAAGGCCCGCATTTTCAATTATGATTGCGGTATTCCGCCCCGTTTTTACAGGCTTTTACAAGACATGTCTAAATGGGACGAACATGTCTGTTTTTAGAAAGCAGACAACACTAACGATTTGATCAGTCATCTTTTCTCTTTGATTAAGTAATAAATAATGGAAAAAGAGCTAGCAAAATAATGTAAATGAAAGAAGAAATTATAAGAAAAATAATTATACCAAAAGCAAGTATTCTCTTTATATTTACCAACAAAACTAGATGTATTAATCTGTGTGTCTATACGCTTTTCTATTGGATTTTTTTGTTACGAGAATAAAGAAAAAGAAAAATTACAATCTCATTAAAAAAATGCTAGTAGCGTCAGCTGCAAGGATGTTCAACATAGAAGGAGGGAATATGTGCACCATGAAGTCAATATTGGAGAAAATTTTGGTTTTGACCATGAAATCAACATTTGATTTTCCTCACGAAGAGTATGTGCAAATCTGATTAACTTGTGTAACAAATTGAGTCATAAAGACCCACATCTTTGGCGACCAAAAGGTCATGGTGAAAATAGAATAAATTTTTTCTTGAAGGATGTCGTACGAGTTTGGAATAAAGCCAAAGAAGTTACACTTCTCATTCCTTGAAGAATTATGAATTGTTCCATGAAAGCTAGTATGAGTTGTCATACTATAGCAACTTCGATCGACATTATTAAAATAGTGCATATGCAGTTGAAGGGGTTCTATTTGATAAAATATTCTTCTATGTACTCGTGTTGTGGTTTTATAAAGCAAGTGCAGAAGGAGTCTTCCATGTAGCGAGCCTCTTGGAAAAGGCGATAAGTTGAAATAAGATCATTGAAGATTCATGTTAAGAATATATTTCTAAAAGTCCACGAACTCCCATAAAAGAGAGAGTAAACGAATGTTAGATCTTCCATTTTAAGCTCGAAATTAGTATCCTGCCTGGATCAAGAAAAGTCTATAAGGGAGAACCTAAGGTTTAACTAAAAAAATTTAAAGGCTACAATATCGAACAAGGAATGACTCATTCTTTACCCCACATATAGAGTATATACTCGAGGTTATAATGTTCTAGTGATGAAACAGAGAGAGTAGGAGCATAGTTGTGACAAACAAGCCAAAAATGAAACTTAATATTTTCTGAGACAAAACTTCAAAATCCAAAACCAAGTTTTTGTGTTATGAATAAATTGATTGTCTTTGTTGTAAATGAGTTACATATATCCACTTACGGTAGTGTAGTTGCCATTGTTTTGATCAAACCAAACAAAGACATCAATTGTGTAATGGTTGAAGTTAATATTATAGTTGTTGACCTCCTATGCGATGTTTTGAGGGAGTTAACTATTTTAAATGTTACACTGGGTGGCATTGTTGAGTATAAGGATTTAAGTGTTGAAGTAAGGCCATGAACTTGCACAAATAGTACAATAAAAACTAGATGCCAAAGAAACTCCAATGAGTAAACCTGGAGAAAGAATATCATACCCAGACCATTGATCAAACCCATAATTAAACATGTTCTTTGCTTTGACAAAGAAATTCCTCAAGGAAGAACCTATAGTGCTACAAAAAGAGAATAAACGTGTATGAGAAAAATATTTTATAGAGATGACACTTACCTAAAGTTTATCAATTTGTTGAGGCATGTCCTAAACGAGTTTTTCGAGTATGACTATGTTGACATCCCTAGTTTATCGGATTCTTAGGCCCGCCATTTTCTTTGGGAAAAATGTTTTGCGCTAACCAACCATATTGATACTTATGTTGTTATTAACTTTCTATATAATATTATGTGTAGGCATGGCAAAAGAACATGCCCTCGTTCGGACCCGACCACCTCCGCCCCAAATTTCACGGGGAAAAATCGATTCAATTGGGGACGAAGATGGGTGCGGGAAAATCTAGTTTTTAATTATGAGACAGGGCGGCGCAAGGGATGCTAGTACCTGCCCAACACCCACCCTCGCCCCCGCCCCCACCTATTAAATTTTACTACCATTTACTTTATTTAATTTTAAGATAGTAAATTTATTAGAATTATTATTCATTTAAAAAAAATATAGATTAAATAAAAATGATAAAATATTATCATTATAATTAAAATTATCAAATATTTAGTTTAACTATTGACTTTTGTTGTTATAGAATAAAATGCATTTTAAAAATATATATATTTAATTTTTACGTATGGTGGCGTGGCAGGGCGGGGAAACTCGTTCCCCATTGGAGCCGGAAATGCGTGTTTATTTGTTACCCTCGACCGGGAACTAGGGCGAGGCGGGGATGTTACATAGAGGCGAGGGCAGGGATGATAATTCTTAAACCCGCCCCGCTCACCCATTGCCATACTTGTTATTGCAGGTAGTATCAATGTAAAAGAGACTCATTGGGCTCTGATGAATTAAAAGGATTAAATGTGATAAAATGTGATAACTTCTAGAAACTTTTACCCCATACCCCTGCATTAAACCCCATACCCCTACAATTTAAAAAATTGGACAAAAATACCCCTGTATAAATATCCAACATTTTACAATTTTCACTTTTTCCTCATTTCCTTCCAGCTAGAGCGTGGAAAAAATAGTTTAATTCAATTTGACTTCTAGAGAACCCAACAATAAGATTTCCAATTCACACGCTTCAACTCCGGAGAACTAGAAAGTAAGTTTTCCGATTTTGAATTTGTGATGTTTACACACCAGATAACTTGTGGTGTAGTTATCTAGTTAGTATTTCTTCTTCACCGGATAACTTTTCATCTTGTTATTTGGTTCTTAGTTCTTCCTCACCAGATAATTTAGCCTTATGTTATGCGAGTTTTTTTTATTTTCTTCACCGGAAAACTTGGTGTGTAGTTTTCTATTTTTATGGACTTTGACCTTTTTTCAGTGGTTCGCTTTCGAGGATGGGATGGATTCATTTATCGAAGATATGGTGAAAGACGAAAAACTCAACAGCCGTAGAACCGAGAGGAAGATCAGATAGTTTCACATGTGCCTATTCCACTACATCCACTATTTCTTGGAGGACTGCCTAATACATCTCTTTTAGTAAGGTATCAGAACCACATTGCTCTCTATTTGTGGGACGACGAAGTAAGTTTGTCTATGACATTTTATGTTGAATCAAATTTAATGTTAACTATATATATATATATATATATATATATATATATATATATATATATATATATATATATATATATATATATATATATATATATATATATATATATATATATATATATATATATATATATATATATATATATATATATATATATATATATATATATATATATATATATATATATATATATATATATATATATAGAGAGAGAGAGAGAGAGAGAGAGAGAGAGCGAGAGAGAGAGAGAGTTTTGAAGAAAGAGTTGAAGGTCGTTGCACATGGCAGCAAGTTAATTGGATGGGTTCCACATAGTCTCCCACCAGTGATTGAGTGATGGTTATTTGATTATGGTCTATCCTTTCTACAA